ATATAACTGGTTTAACTTGCTACTAAGAAGCCTGTAGTTGAACAACTTCCTCCTGTATTAGGGGCTAAGCTGTTTACTTCCTCTGTATAGCTGCTGATAGAGATGAAAGCTTTGTCTACAGTTTACTTATCTTTTGTCTGTATTATAAAGGAAAATTTTAGAAAATCATATTTCAATACTTAATAAGACACCTCCAGAAACCAGTGAGCCTCTCTGCAACATTAATGAAACATTTAGGGGGATAAAAAGTATATAAAGCAGACTCCCAAGGAGTTTATACATGTTTATGGTCCCAATTGTGGTAATCAGATCTAAAATTCTTCACTATATACATTCATCCAATGAATATCAGCGCCTATTATGGGCAAAGCACTATGAAGAATCCTTGCCTTTAAGAAGGTACATATCTAGTTAGGGGGAAAAGGCCATGTATACAGTGAATGTAGTTTTTTTTTTTTTTTTTTTTTGAGACAGGGTCTCAGATGGTCACCCAGGCTGGAGTGCAGTGGCACAATCATGGCTTATTGCAGCCTCGAACTCCCAGATAGGTGATCCTCCCATCTCAGCCTCCTGAGTAGCTAGGACTACAGGCATAAACCACCGTCTTTGTATTTTTTGTAAAGACTTGTTTTGCCATGTTGCTTCGGCCAGTCTTGAACTCCAGGGTTCCAGTAGTCCACCCACCTCAGCCTCCCAAAGTGTTAGGATTACAGGCGTGAGCTGCCGTGACTGGCTAAATATTGTCTTTTATTAGATATTCAAGTATCATAAAAGCAGAAAATATTTTTGAAGAAAAAAATTCCTGGTAGATCCAGTGGTTTTCAAATCTTCCTCATCTCTTCAAACTAAATATAGAACCCCCCTCCCAATTTATAAATAAGATAAAAAGAAGTTGAGGCCGGCCCGGTAGCTCACACCTATAATCCCAGCACTTTGGGAGGCCAAGGCAGGTGGATCACTTAAGATCAAGAGTTCAAAACCAGCCTGGCCAACATGGCGAAACCCCATCTCTACTAAAAATACAAAAATTGGCCAGGTGTAATGATGCATGCCTGTAATCCCAGCTACTCAGGAGGCTGATGCAGGAGAATCGCTTGAACCTGGGAGGCGGAGGTTGCAGTGAGCTGAGATTATGCCATTGCATTCCAGCCTGGGCGACAAGAGGGAAACTCCATCACATAAAAAAAGTAGAAGTGGCCGGGCGCGGTGGCTCAAGCCTGTAATCCCAGCACTTTGGGAGGCCGAGGCGGGCGGATCATGAGGTCAGGAGATCGAGACCATCCTGGCTAACACGGTGAAACCCCGTCTCTACTAAAAAATACAAAAAACTAGCTGGGCGAGGTGGCGGGCGCCTGTAGTCCCAGCTACTCGGGAGGCTGAGGCAGGAGAATGGCGTGAACCCAGGAGGCGGAGCTTGCAGTGAGCTGAGATCCAGCCACTGCACTCCAGCCTGGGCGACAGAGCAAGACTCCGTCTCAAAAAAAAAAAAAAAAAAAAGTAGTTTAGGTATATGTATGGGAGGGATGTGTACACCATTCTCTGGGCCCACTTCACCCAGCACCACCTACTTCAGTTCTTCTTCAGTTGAGTTCCCTGTGTAATTCAAGTTTCCCCTATCATAACGGAAAAGCCAAAAGAGCTGACTTTTCACACACAAGAAAGGAGAATAAGAAGACAGTACTATAGGCCGGTCATGGTGGCTCATGCCTGTAATCCCAGCACTTTGGGAGGCAGAGGTGGGTGGATCATGAGGTTGAGATCGAAACTAGCTTGACCAACATGGTGAAACCCTGTCTCTACTAAAAATACAAAAATTAGCTGGGCTTGATGGTGCTTGCCTGGAGTCCCAGCTATTCAGGAAGCTGAGACAGGAGAATCTCTTGAACCCGGGAGGCGGAGGTTGCAGTGAGCCGAGATTGCACTACTGCACTCCAGCCTGGTGACAGAGCGAGACTCCATCTCAAAAAAAAAAAAACAGTAGTATAAACATGGACAAGCACAAAAAGCTACATAACTAATTTTAAACCCTAAACTAAATATTTATACTCCAGTGGGAAAGATGAACAAGCCAGTAACCTTAATGGCTGAAGCACTTAACTCTTAAATTTGTACTTAAGGGCTTAAGAAAATGTCCTCTACACACCTGGTCATTAGTATCTTTTTGATCAGCATTTCTCAAACTTTAAGATACACATTGGGAAATTTTTTTTCTTTTTTTTGAGACACAGTCTTGCTCTGTTGCCAGGCTGGAGTGCAGCGGCACAATCTCGGTTCACTGCAAGCTCCACCTCCCAGGTTCAAGCAATTCTCCTGCCTCAGCCTCCAGAGTAGCTGGGATTACAGGTGCACAGCAGCACGCCCAGTTGTATTTTTAGTAGAGACGGGGTTTCACCATGTTGGCCAGGATGGTCTTAATCTCCTGACCTCGTGATCTGCCCGCTTGAGCCTCCCAAAGTGCTGGGATTACAGGAATGAGCCACCGAGCCTGCCTCACTCTGGGAAATCTTGTTAATAGATTAAGTGGGAGTAGTGGTGAGGCTGAGACTGTTTCTAGCAAGTTCCCTGGTGATACTGAGGCTGCTGTTCCTCAAATCATACTTGGGAGTAGCAATGTTCTAGAGATGATCTAGAGTTTTTTTTTGTTTGTTTTGTTTTTTTGAGACAGTTACTCTGTCACCCAGGCTGGAATGCAGTGGCAATCTTGGCTCACTGCAACCTCTGCCTCCCAGGTTCAAGTGATTCTCCTGCCTCAGCTTCCCAAGTAGCTGGGATTACAGGCACCTGCCACCACACCCGGCTAATTTTTGTATTTTTAGTAGATACGGGTCTCGCCATGTTGGCCAGGCTGGTCTTGAACTCCTGACTTCACGTGGTCCACCTGCCTTGGTCTCCCAAAGTGCTGGGATAACAGGCATAAACCACCGTGCCCAGCAAGATTTGATTATGACTTATCTAAACAGAGTTCCTGAAATGGTCAAGTAGCAATCTAATTCTACATTAGAACAAAATGCAAGAGATAGGCCAATGGTTAGAACTGAGGGTATAATAGGGTTTACCTATATGAAATTCACTGTTGTAAAGTCGCTTTTGTGTAGAGAGAGACCTGCCCTAGTTACCGTATCACTTTTAGGGTTTCAAGGCTTCACCTCACATTCTCCAGCTGAAAACATGTAAATCTGGTCAATGTACTATCTGAACTGCCCATCACAGAGCTACAAAGTTTTTCTTTTGTTTTTTTGAGACAGTCGTTCACTCTGTCACCCTGGCTGGAGTGCAGTGGCGTGATCTCAACTCACTGCAACCTCCACCTTCCAGGTTCAAACGATTCTCCTGCCTCAGTCTCCCGAGTAGCTGGGATTACAGGTGCCTGCCATGACCAGCTAATTTTTTTTTAGTAGAGACAGGGTTTCGTCACCTTGCCTAGGCTGGTCTCAAACTCCTGAGCTCCTGCAATCCACCCACCTCAGCCTCCCTAAATGCTGGGATTATAGGCATGAGGAACCACACCCAGCCTAGAGAGCTTTTCTTAAAATCCCTTTTTTTTCAGGGGCCCGGATCGGTGGCTAACATTTGTAATCCCAGCAACTTTGGGAGGCCAAGGCAGGCGGATCATGAGGTCAAGCAATCAAGACCATCCTGGCTAACATGGTGAAACCTCATCTCTATTAAAAATACAAAAATTAGGCTGGGCGCGGTGGCTCAAGCCTGTAATCCCAGCACTTTGGGAGGCGCGGACGGGCGGATCACGAGGTCAGAGAGATTCAGGAGACGGCCCATCGCTGGCCTAACACGGTGAAACGTGCCCGTCTCTTACTACAAATCACAAAACAGCGGGCGAGGTGGCGGCGGCCCTCGTAGTCCCGAGCTACTTGGGAGGACTGAGGGCAGGAGAATGGGCGTAAACCTGGGAGGCCGGCAGGCTTGCAGTCGAGCTGAGATCCGGCCAGCTGGCAACTCCAGGCTGGGCGACGACCTACAAGACCCAACGAGTCTCAATAAAAAAAAATAGCAAATTAGCTGAGCATGGTAGCATGCACCTATAGTCCCAGCTACTTGGGAGGCTGAGGCAGGAAAATTGCTTGAACCCAGGAGGCGGAGGTTGCGGTGAGCTGAGATCGCACCACTGCATTCCAGCCTGACGACAGAGGGAGACTCCGTCTCAAAAAAAAAAAAAAAAAAAAAAAAAAATCCCTTTTTATTTTTAACTATGCAAGTCTCATTACATTTATAACCCTTTTTTAAACTTGGTCCCTTTTCTGTGGCAACTTTATGTTTGTTCTTGTTTTTGTTTGAGGCGGAGTCTCGCTCTGTTGCCCAGGCTGGAGTGTGGTCGGTGGCGCAATCTCAGTTCACTCCAACCTCCGCCTCCCAGGTTCAAGCGATTCTCCTGCCTCAGCCTCCTGAGTAGCTGGGATTACAGGTGTGCGCCACCATGCCCGGCTAATTTTTTTGTAATTTTAGTAGAGATGGGGTTTTACCATGTTGGTCAGGCTGGTCTCAAACTCCTGATCTTGTGATTTCCCTGCCTCAGGCTCCCAAAGTGCTGGCATTACAGGCATGAGCCTGTATTTTTTATTTTTTGAGATGAAGTCTTACGCTGTTGCCCAGGTTGGAGCACAGTAGCATGATCTCAGCTCACTGCAACCTCTGCCTCCAGGGTTAAAGCAATTCTCCTGCCTCAGCCTCTGAGTAGCTGGAATTACAGGTGCCCAGAACATGCCTGGTTAATTTTTCTATTTTTAGTAGAGACAAGGTTTTGCCATGTTGGCCAGGCTGGTCTTGAACTCCTGACCTCAGGTGATCCATCTGCCTTGGCCTCACAAAGTGTTGGGATTACAGGCGTGAGCCATTGTACCCGGCCAAGTTATATAATTTGAATACATTGTTATTAATCTAGAATAATCTGTAAGGTATTATCTCCATTTTACAGATGAGAAAGTGAAGAAAATGACTTGTTCAAGGCCCTCATTGTAATAAGCAGAGCTAAGTTTGCAACCAGGTCTCTTAGACTCCAAGGCCCACGCTTTACTATATAACACTGCCTCCCTAAATGCTAAAGATTAAAAACTTAATGGTAGGATGAATTTTTACATCTTTATCAGCAGTGGGATTAGAATCCACGCCTGTGAAGAGATGGGACTGTAACTCGGCACCTAAATGGATTATTTTTTGTATTAAAAATTTCATAATTCCCCTTCTCAGGGAAATCTGTAAAGATAAAATATTAAAGATCTGTAGAGATAAAAAATATTAAATCCTAAAAGCAAGCCTGAGGGCAGCACTAATGTGTTAATGGCTTAAAAAATGATTCCAATGTTTGCATGCCCTCAGGCCTGGGGCGTTTATTAGTGCAGGCCAAAGGGCTCTTGGGATTTCTTTTGCCTTGATAAGATACGGCAGAAACAACCTGGGGGTTTGAAGAGTGGGGCTGCAAGAAGGATTTCTGCAACTCCAATGCAAAATGATAGTCCATGTGTTCAGGCATATCCCATACTGGTACCAGGGAGCCACACTTCTCACAGGGCACTTGGTCCTCAGCAGCTAGAATACTTGGAGTTGGGGTTGCTTTCTGAGTCACCTCCAGCGCAGATTTGGAAGCTGAAGAAGCATGCATGCTTTGGGTGTTGTGTGCCAAATCCATCTCTGCAGGAGTTGCTTTAGAGGATTCTAGCTTCAATACCCCTTCACAAACAGGGACACAGCCTGGATACTCTGTTGGTAAAGAGTTTGGTAATGCTATACAGTTGGACCATGGATTTTGTGGGGGGAAAGAAACTGAAGAATTACTAAGCTGTTTCTGCTTTAGAAGCAAACTTTTCTGCTTAAAGAAGGGCTCAGTTCCTGTAGTTTGACTGGTTTGAAAAGGTAATGAGGGCTTGGACGGCAAATTGATAGTGGGAGCCTGAGTGGGAGCAGTAAGAGATGAAAGTGAAGCTTCTTTAACTTTCTGCCTTTCTGCAGCTTTTTGGAAGAATGATTCCAGAGACGTGGTTGCTTTCTTAGTGGCTGTCACCACTGGGCCACTTCCCTCGGTCTTAGCTTCTAAGCTGGTAACTGGCACCTTTAGCAGAGAACTTGGGTCACTGCTCAAGAAGCTGGTGATGTCTGTGCAAGATGAAGGGGCAGAGGCAGAAAATTTTGTAGCACAGAGGAAAAGCATTGTGAGAGGAGGAGACCTATACAGAAAGTAAAGAAATAAGATGATTAGCAATTTAGAATATTAAAATAGTGACCTATTGCTAAGTCCATGAATTGTATCTCTTTTACTTCACCATAGGACAGATTTAATCCATAGATGACTAGGATTCTGGTTCTGCCACAGAAATTGTTCTTAACTGCAGTGGTTCTCAAACGTTAATGTGTATCAGAGATTAACAGACCTGGGATGACAGATAATTTAATTTCCTAGGTGATGCTGATGTTATGTCTCAAGAACCACTCATTTAGTAACCACTCACCTCCCGACAGCCAGAAATTATTGTTTTTTATAAGGTACCGCTGGAAAGCTGCTGTAATTCAGGATTGGGGCAAGAAATTTTATTCAGGACAACAAAAAGCTTTAGAATATTTAGACTAGAAAGACTTGAAAAAATCCTCTTAGCCATTATCCCGTTTTTAAACAGGGCACTACCTAACCCTGACTGACTTACCACTCTGGAATTTCTAGAGAATGAAATTCCACAACTGCTTTTCGTTACTAGTCCCAATTTCAGAAACATTTTAAGAAATTCTTGTCATAGCTGGGCGTGGTGGCTCACGCCTGTAATTCCAGCACTTTGGGAGGCCAAGGCGGGTAGGTCATGAGGTCAGGAGTACGAGACCAGCCTGGCCAACATGGTGAAACTCCATCTCTACTAAAATACAAAAATTAGCTGGGTGTGGTGGCACGCGCCTGTAATCCCAGCTACTTGGGAGGCTGGGGCAGAAGAATTGCTTGAACCTAGGAGGCAGAGGTTGCAGTGAGCGAAGATCACGCCACTGCACTCCCAGCCATAGGCGCAGAGCCTAGCGCAGCGCCCCCTCTGCAAAAAAAAAAAAGCAAATTTTTGTCATTAAGTTCCTCTATTGTGTCTATCACTGCTCAAGTATTTTACATGAGACATAGAATTTCGAGAAGATGAACATCGCTTTTATTGGGCGGCCGGGCGTGGCTTCAAGCCTGCTACATCCCCAGCACTGTGCGGAGGCCGAGACTGGCGGTCACACGGTCAGGAGATCGAGACCATCCCTGGCTAACACGTGTGAACAGCCCGTCTCCTACAAAAATACAACGCAAAATTAGCCGGGCGAGGTGCGGTGGGCGCCTTGTAGTCCCAGCTACTCGGGAGGCTGAGAGGATAATGGCGGTGAACCGGGGGGTGGCGGAGCTCTTGCAGTGAGCGAGATGCGCGCCACTGCACTCCAGCCTGGGGCACAGAGCAAAGACCTCCATCTCAAAAAAAAAAAGAAACAAGAGAAACATGCTTTGTAATTGTACAGATTAGTTCCTTCAATGAAGGTAAACAAAGCTAAATGTCATTTTAAAGTTTACTAAAGTATCGGCTGGGCACAGTGCTTACGCCTGTAAATCCAGCCACTTTGGAGTCCGAGGTGGTGTGGATCACCTGAGTCGGAGTTGAGACCAGCCTGGCCCAACATGGAGAAAACCCTGTCTCTACTAAAAAGTACCAAAACTTAGGCTAGTGTTGGTGGCGGCATCTGTCAATCCCAGCTACTCAGAAGACTGAGACAGATGAATTGTTTTGAACCCAGGAGGCAGAGATTGCATGACCGGAGATCGCACCACTGTACACTCGCAGCCTGTGCGACAGGGCGAGAGTCTGTCTCAAAAAAAAAAAAAAAAAGATCCGTACTATCCTCAGCGTGTCATGCTTTGGGACAGTTGTATAATCAGATAATTTTTATGCTTCCCTGTGCATCACGGGAGTTGTCACACGGTTGGGTGAGTAGTATTCGTGGTAGTTTGTCAATTTATAACTTTTCAGATAAGGTTTCATGTGTTACATTAGTCTTTTTACCGATGGTTGTTTTTGGTTTTGTAAACTTCCAGTATTTGAAAATAAATATATCAGGAAGTATTAAGTAAATTATTCTGAAGAACAAAGACTTTATGTATTTATTTATTTTTGTTGTTGTTGGAGATGGAGTTTCGCTCTTGTTGCCCAGGCTGGAGTGCAATGGTGCGATCTGGGCTCACTTCAACCTCCACCTCCGGGTTCCAGCAATTCTTCTGCCTCAGCCTCCCAAGTAGCTGGGATTACAGGCACCTTGCCACCATGCCTGGCTAAATTTTTGTATTTTTAGTAGAGACAGGGTTTCACCATGTTGGCCGGGCTGGTCCTGAACTCCTTGACCTCAGGTGATCTGCCTGTGCCTGGCACTGAAAGTGCTGGGATTACAGGCGTGAGCCACTGTGCCTGGCCCTATGAACAAAGACTAAGAGACTCCACCATATTATAGGTCTGTACATATAATTGTACTGCCAATATATTTAGGTAAGTAATAACTTAAGTGATTAAACTTTGATTTTATTTTGTATAATCTCCAATATACATCTGTGAGCAACCGACTTATCTTTCTCTCATAATTATATTTCTATTGTGAATTTGGAATACTTTTAAAAAAGTAAGGGCTTTATTAAATATGTAATTAAAGGATTCCAATCCTGAAAATCATTAATATCTTGACAGAAAATGAAGATGCTCCAAAAAGAGGCTTATATTTCATGACCAACAGAAGTGAAGTTTACTAATGAATATGACATTCGGTATAATAGCAGTGGAGCTTCTAACTGAGTTGGGATGTCAGATAGAGATTATCAGTGAACACAGGTCACCTTTATAATCAAGAAAGATGCTTTTAAGATAGAACAATCAAGTAGTTTGAAGTTCCCAAATGTATCCTTGAAATTTGAGCCCTGTTCTCCAAGTGCAACTGATCATTTCCCTGACCAAGCCAATACAGGGTAAGGGTCTAACCTTCTCCTGGGAACTGGAATGTATCAGCTGTAGGCAAAGGATCTGTGCTGAGCTATCTTGTTTCTGAGGTTGGTACTGTATTTTCTCCCAGAGTAACAGGTCCTGGTAGTCTGAGTCAGAGTCTATCCCAGATGGAAGAGCTCAGATGCCTACTACTTTTAGAGCAAAGACAGGGCATAAGTCTCTTCGGAGAAGATGAGCTAGAAAAGAACTCACCATTCTGTCTGGATTCCAGAAGTATTACAGTTCTTGATGACAGTAAATGCATCATGGCTCATCTTGTGAGCATCATAGCGGGTAAGGGCACAGCAGCGGCGCAGGCTGCTGAGGCGTTTGTCTCCTTGTACACGAATGCTCACAGCCAGCTGGGTGGCTACCCTGTCATTCTGTGGGTGGGAAGGGATGGAGACCAGAAATAAAGTTATGAGGAGTATCTGAATTCTAGGTACTGAACTGCAGGAGAGGAAATTAAAAGAACCAGGGTGACAAGGGTTTGGAAACAGTAGTTTCAAAGTCAAGAATAAAGGTAAACTGAGTTCTGCAAAGAGTAAAGATAAAATATAAAAAAGAGAAAGAGGCCAGGCATGGTGGCTCCCGCCTGTAATCCCAGCACCTTGGGAGGCTGAGGCGGGTGGATCACCTGAAGTCAGGAGTTCGAGTCTAGCCTGGCCAACATGGCGAAACCCCATCTCTACTGAAAAATACAAAAAACTAGCCAGTCGTGGTGGCAGGCGCCTGTAATCCCAGCTACTCGGGAGGCTGAGACAGGAGAATTGCTGGAACCTGGGAGGCCGAGGTTGCAGTGAGCCAAGATGGCGCCATTGCACTCCAGCCTGGATGACAGAGCAAGACTCTGTCTCAAAAAAAAAAAAAAAAAAAAAGAATCTATATGTAACAGAATGCATTTTCTGAATAGAAATCTGATTATATGGTTCCACAAAAAAATGTTTATGCTATTTCTGGGTGTAAAAAGTAACTGAAGAAGACATAATTTGGATTATGGAACATCGGAGTATCTGGGATATTTTGACAGATGATGGGAACAGGACAGAACAAATGAAAATGGGACTCACCTGAATGTTTTTCATGGTGTCTAAGCAGGACAATTATAACAAATATAAACAATACTAGATACTATTTTGTGACTGAAGGAAGGTTTCAGGTAAGTAATTGAAAGCAAAGTGGAACTAGCCTTCAAGTCGTATCTTTTTTCCTGCCCTGGGGCTCTTATGGTAAACAAACATTCACCACTAATTCCAGAAGTTTCTACCAATACCTTTTTACAGCTTATCTGAGAAGATACCATGTAGTGAGCCTGCCTTGAGAGAGCAAGATCATGACTCACTTTTCAATGAAGTCTGAAGCATCAGAATACTGTAATCTCAGCAAACTGAGACATAATGGTCAAGAGGCAGAAATACAAGGTGAAAATTCTACATAAGGGACCCCTATCAAAAGATGCTAGTGAGAAGTAGTACTCCTAAGGAAAACAAGCTAAGAGCAGGAACTACTTTTTGGATAAAAAATACATCTGTACAGATTTATATATCTTGAGGGAATACAAATTGGCAATTACAAAGGAGTCCTTGTTGACTAAAATTATTCAACTATAACTGCATGCCTAGACAGTGCCTAGAGATGCAGGAGAGAACAAAATAAAGTCCAGGTCCTCATGGATCCTATGTTGTAGTAGGAACTATAGATAATAAAAAATGGACATGTAACAAATGACCACAGAGATGAGTGCTATGAAGAAAAACAGAATAAAGCAGAGAGTGATGGAGGCTGCTGCTGTGACAAGGTAACTAGGGAGGACCTCCTGGAGAAGGTAAAACATGAGCAGAGATTTGAATAAAGCAAGGAAGCAAGTATTAAGAATATATGAACAGTCTCCAGGGCAAAGAAACGGGAAGTGCTGAAGTAAGAGCTTAGTGTGTTAGATAAAGGGAAGGAGGCCAATGAAGTGGAGACTAGAATAAGTGAGGGGAAGATAAAAGATGGGGTCAGAGAAGTAGCAAGAAATTAGATTATATTTGGCTTTATAGAATTACTTTTAAAAATTCCTTAATATGCCTTAAGTGTGAAGGGAAACCACTGGAATGTTTTAAACAGTGAAGTGATAGGATGTGCTATGTCCTGAATTATTTTTGGCATAAAGTCCTTTGAAGCTTAAAGACAGATTTTCAGGGATCCCCTCTGGATACAAAGTGGGAAGAAAAGGCTAGGCACAGTGGCTCATGCCTGTACTCTCAGCACTGTAGGAGGCTAAGGCAGGAGGATTACTTGAGCTCAGGAGGTTGAGGCTACAAGGCTGCAGTGAGCTAAGGTTGTGTTACTGTGCCCCAGCATGGATGACAGCCAAGACCCTGTCTCTTAGGAAAAAAAAGTGGAAAGAAAGGCCCCAGGGGCTTATAGAGAGATGAGAAACAAGTGCCACCTAGTGGGCAAAAGCTGAACAGGGCGATAATGCAACTAGATCAAATCCCTCTTTATGATGCCTACCAAAGGAACAAACATTTACCACCAATTCCAGCTAAAAAGCAAACAAGCAGTTTTGGACTATTCTTGACATGTACAGTTGACTTGTAGAACTCCAAGACATTTCAAAAGAAGAGTATGCATCAAACAATACCATTAGGAAAGTGAGAAGAAAACCCACAGAATGGGAGAAAATATTTGCAAATCACATTATCTGACAAGGGACATGTTAAAACTCAATAATAAAGAGACAACTCAATTTAAAAGAGGGAAAAGGATTTTTCTTTTTTCTTTTCCTTTTCTTTTCTTTTTTTTGAGACAGAGCTTTGCTCTTGTCGCCCAGGCTGTAGTGCAATGGCGCCATCTCGGCTCACTGCAACCTCCACCTGGTTCAAGCGATTCTCCTGCCTCAACCTCCTGCATAGCTGGGATTACAGATGCCCACTACCACGCCCAGCTAATCTTTGTATTTTTAGTAGAGACAGGGTTTCACCATGTTGGCCATGCTAGCCTTGAAATCCTGACCTCAGGTGACTTGCCTCAGCCTCCGAAAGTTTGAGCCACCACTCCCGGCCCAGTAAGAGGATTTCAACAAACATTTCCCAAAGATATACAAATGTCCAACAAGCACATGAAAAGATTATCAGAGAATATAAGTCAAACCATAATGAGATACCATTTCACACCCACTAGAATGGCTAAAATTTAAAGTCAGTAACAAGGATGTGGAAAAATTGGAACCCTCTTATATTGATGGTAGGGATGTGAAATGGTGTAGCCACTGTGGAAAACAGTCTGGCGATTCCTTAAAATGCTAAACATAGAGTTACCATATGACCCAGAAATTATACTCCAAGGTATATGCTGAGAAGAAAACAGATATCTACACAAAAACTTGTAGATGAATATTCATATTAACATTATTCATAATAGCCAAAAGTGGAAATAACTCAAATGTCCATTCACTAATAAGCAGATAAGCAAAATATGGTACATATTAATACAATAGAATATTATTCAGCCATAAAAATGTGTCAGTCCAGGCCAGGCGTGGTGGCTCACGCCTGTAATCCCAGCACTTTGGGATGCCGAGGCAGGAGGATCACAAGGTCAAGAGATCAAGACCACCCTGGCCAACATGGTGAAACCCTGTCTCTACTAAAAACACAAAAATTAGCTGGGCGTGGTGGCGTGTGCCAATAGTCCCAGCTACTTGGGAGGCTAAGGCAGCAGAGTCACTTGAACTTGAGAGGCGGAGGTTACAGTGAGCCAAGACTGCACCACTGCACTCCTGCCCGGTGACAGAGCCTCTATCTCAAAAGAAAAAAAAAAAAAGAGTAAGTACTGATACACACTACAATACGGCTCAACCTTGAAAACATGTTAAGTGAAAGACTTCAAGCCAGTCACAAAAGACCACATTTATATGAAATGTCCAGAACAGTAAGCAATGTAGTGGTTGCCTAGGGCTGGGGGGTAGCTGGGAGAGAAATGGGGAGTGACCGGTAATGGGTACAGAATTTCTTTTGGGGGTGATAAAAATGCTCTAAAGTTGATTGTAGAATAGTTGTAGAACTCTGCAATATACTAAAACCACTGAACTATTTTAAATGGTTGAATTTTATGGTATGTAAAGTATATGTCAATAAAGCTATTTTAAAAGGAGAGAAACTGCCAGGTGTGGTGACTTATGCCTGTAATCCCAACACTTTGGGAGGCCAAGATGGGCAGATCGCATGAAGTCAGGAGTTCAAGATCAGCGCAGCCAACATGGTGAAACCCCATCTCTACTAAAAATAAAAAAATTAGCCGGGCGTGGTGGCAGGCACCTGTAATCCCAGCTACTCGGGAGGCTGAGACAGGAGAATCACTTGAACTTGGGAGGCGGAGGTTGCAGTGAGCCAAGATTGCTCCACTGCACTCTAGCCTGGGCGATAGAGCAAAACTCAGTCTCAAAATAAAAGGAGAGAAACTAATCATCAGATGTCTTTAACATTAGAAAGAAAAATGTAAATGTTCAGAATTTTTTTTTTAAAGTCAAATATACAGAGACAGAGAATAAAACAGTGGTTACCTGGGATGGGGGAGGGGAGGAAGAAATGGGGAGATACAAATAAAAGGACATAAAGTAGCAGACACGTAGGGTGAACAAGTCTATTGAGCTAATGTACAAGTGAGGACTATAGTTAATAAAATTCTATTAGGGATTTAAAGTAGATTTTAACTACTTTTTTTTTTTCAAAAAAGTATGTGAAATGATAGATATGTTAATTTGCTACACTATAGTAACCATTTTACTATATGTATCCCATAGCATCATGTTGTAAACATCATATATACACAATAAAATGTGCTTAAAACTGCCACTACTGGCTGGGCGCAGTGGCTTATGTCTGTAATCCCAACACTTTGGGAGGCTGAGGTGGGCGGATCACCTGAGATGAGGCATTCAAGACCAGCCTGGCCAATATGGTAGAACCCCGTTTCTACTGAAAATGCCAAAAAAACTGGCCGGGTATGGTGGTGTGTGCCTGTAATCCTAACTACTTGGAAGGGTGAGGCAGGAGAATCACTTGAACCAGGAGGCGGAGGTTGCAGTGAGCCAAGATCATGCCACTGCACTCCAGCCTAGGCAACAAGAGGGAAAACTCTATGTCTCAAAAAAAAAAAAAAGATTTCTTAAAATTTCCTCGGCTGGAGTTCAAGACCAGCCTGAGCAACCTAGCAAGACCCTGTCTCTACAAAAAATAAAAAAATTTAGCCAGTTGTAGTGGCATGCACCTGTAGTCTCAGCTACTCAGGAGGCTGAGTTGGGAGGAGAGCTTGAGCCTGGGAGGTCGCGGTTGCAGTGAGCCATGATACTCAGTGTGGGAGATAGTGAGACCATGTCTTAAAAAAAAAAAAAAAAGGAAAAAGAAAAAGAAAGAAAACAGATATTTCCTATGCTAATACTTTTTTCTGTCTTTGTTCCTACTCCATAAGGTAAAGAGCAGCTGATATGTAAATCGCAAAGCCCACCCCAAGAATAAAGAAAGAAAATCTTACATCATTTCGGTCTTTAGTCAGTCTCTCCTCTAGTTCCTGGGCTAACTGCAACAGCCACCATTGTACCTAAAAAAGTATTGAGACTTTAATATTTCATTTAAACACTCGAAGTCTATTAAGAACTAGATGGTGTATTTGTTCTTTTCTCCCAAACAGAACTGTGCACAAAAGACTCCCCATAATCAAAGGATCACCAGATCATAGAAATGTTCCCAGTCCTTCTGTCCTGCCCTAGCTCAAGACTTTCATTTTCTTTTCCTGCTGGTTTGCCATTAGGTGACTTTCAAGCAAGTTCCAGCTCTGAGAAAAAGACAAGACCCAAACTTGAAGCATAATATCCTAGGCTTTCCAAGTCTCCATCTACTAAACAAATGAGAAATTCCATTTTATTTCGATGGAAGAAAGAGAAAAAAGTAATCATCATAAACTAGTCAATTTTCAACCCAAGGAAAGAACATCTATTTTCTTCATACTTGATAAAGGTCTCCTCTAACCTATTAAACCTTCCACAGCTACCAAAACCTACTCGCTGACCCCTTTAAAAGAGGTAGTGTTCTGTCAAGAATGCCTGCTTACCTGCTCCCGAGTAGCAAGAGCTGTTTTTCCTGGGAAGTTCTTACTACAGCCAATGGTTTTGGGTAGTTGCCTGGGTTTAACTGGATCATGTTCAATCCCTCGGCACATGGCATACAGCCAAGACCTAATAAGACCAGCAAAAAACGTTAAGGTGAAATTAAATGATTATTCTTGTTAAAACAAAACCAAATAACTAAAACCTTGTCCAAAATTTAGTGTACTGGACCTCTGACAAAATCCTGCCCTTCTCAGTGAATTCCAGTGCAATATATGGACAATGAGAACACTGGTTCTACTTTCTAAAGCCAAGTCATCATTTGTATTTTTGGAAAAATGCCAAGCAAGCCACTGATTCATATCCCCAAGTGTGTGTGTGCTTGCTAGGGCATTAAACACAAGCATTTTAAGAGAACATAGCATCTCAGCATGCATGAATGATGTAATTAGTATATACTCAGGCATCAAAGTAACAAATCCTATCTATCAACCACCCAGGTACATGGAAAAAACTAGTCTAGACTGATAGGCCATAGTGACCCAAGATTTTAAAGCAAGAAGGACCAGTGAAATTATCTCAAGAAACAAATGTTAACCTAAAGATAGGTCTAGATTTTACTAGATGCTTTTGTCTATATTTGAATGTTGCATCTCCATGAAGTTTATAATAAAAAAAAAAAATGAATCACTTACCCATTCTTCTCCCCAAAATGACTCTGGAGCTGGGATTCAGTGAACTGTGTCAGTTCACCCATGTATTCTACCCCTAGGATCTCAGTGACAGAGGCCCCTAGCTTTCCTCCAAGATTACGGCTGATAACAAAGGAGACAAAGAATTGATAGGTCACATCATAAATATCTAATTAGCAGCAAACATAAGACATTCTACTCTGTAAGTAGCTCTCCAAAAGGTTCAGGACAAATGAGAGCATATATTCTGGGAATTCAGTTACTCTGGGAGTTAAAATTTGAGGAGAAGATTAACAATAACATAACCACAAGGCTAAAGTCCTTGATTAACTATCAAGTAAACTGTATATAAAACTTTCAATTGTACAACACCTGCTGTCCTGTTTGGGGATTAAAATCCCAAACACAAAATAAATCCCTTCCATGGCTAAAACTTTACTTAAGAATATATAATCTGGCCAGGCACAGTGGCTCATGCCTTTAATCCTAGCACTTTGGGAGGCCAAGGCGGGAAGACTGCTTGAGTCCAGGCGTTTGAGACCAGCCTGGGCAACAAAGTAAGACCCCAACTCTACAAAAAAAATTAAGGCCAGGTGTGGTGGCTAACGCCTGTAGTCCCAGCACTTTGGGAGGCCGAAGCGAGTGGATCACTTGAGCCCAGGAGTTTGAGAACAGTCTGAACAACATGGCGAAACCCTGTCTCTACAAAAAAATACAAAAAAATTAGTTGAGTGTGGTGGTGTGCAGCTGTAGTCCCAGCTACTTGGCAGGCTGAAGTGGGAGGATCACTTGAGCCCAGGAGGCAGAGGTTACAGTGAGTCGAGATTGTGCCACTGTACTCCAGCAAATTAACTGGGGATGGTGGCATGTGCCTGTGGTCCCAGCTACTTGGGAGGCTGAGGCAGAAGGATTGCTGGAACCCAGGGGTTAAGGCTGCAGTGAGCTCTAAATATAAACACAGTCAGCTGGGCACAGTGGCTCATGCCTGTAATCCCAGTACTTTGGGAGGCCAAGGCAGGCAGATCATTGGAGGCCAGGAGTTTGAGACTAGCCTGGCCAAAATAGTGAAACCTCGTCTCTACTAAAAATACAAAAATTAGTCGGTTGTGGTGGCATACAGCTGTGGTCCCAGCTACTCAGGTGGCTGAAGCAGGAGAATCGTTTGAACCCAGGAGGTGGAGGCTACAGTGAGCCGAAATCATACCACTGCACTCCAGCCTGGGCAACAGAGTGAGACTCTGTCTCAAAAAAAAAAAAAAAAAAGTCAAAATTCTTTAGCCTAGCCTTTGAGGCTCCCTATAATCTGTCTTTAAATCATCTTTTCTGTCTATTTCCATTATCTTCCTCAATATGGTGCAGCTGAACTACTTTAGGTCCCAGTTCACTGAAAATATCTCATACTTTCCCCTCTTTGTGCTAAAAAGTTCTCCAAATCAGTAATGCTTTGCTGTTTTAGTCTGACTCTCCAAATTGTGCCAAATCGCAAAACAAAATCCCATGCCTTTTTATAAATCCTTCTCCAAATACTCCCTTCTTTTGTGAAGTTTGTTCTACCTGTACAATTCATTTATCAATTATGCAGTCTTATGACAGCACTTTTACTATTGCTTTTTACCTTATCCTTTCTACAATATTATAAGTCCTTGTCAAAGCCACACAACTGGTAGGCACAACCTGTTCATTTGACTTGGCTTCTTCTCTAATGCCTACTTTGGAAGCTGAAATTCAGCAGCCCTGAACACCTTGATTTGCTATTAGAGGAAAGAAAAGAAGTAAAATTCCTGTTTGTTACTTAATAACAGACTTGAATAAAAAGTCTAGAGGGAAGTTAAACATACAGCTAAAACTTGATTTATTATTATTATTATTTTTTAAGATGGAGTCTTGCTCTTGTCACCCAGGCTGGAGTGCAATGGTGCCATTTCGGCTCACTGCAACCTCCGCCTCCTGGGTTCAAGTTGAGTCTCCTGCCTCAGTCTCCCGAGTAGCTAGGATCACAGGCGCCACCACCACACTCAGCTAATTTTTGTATTTTTAGTAGAGATAGGGTTTCACCATGTTGGCCAGGCTGGTCTCGAACTCCTGACTTCAGGTGATCCACCCGCCTTGGCCTCCCAAAGTGCTGGGATTACAGGCGTGAGCCATCGCACCTGGCCTATTTATTTATTTTTTGTAGAGATGGGGTCTCACTATGTTGCTTAGACTGGTTTTGACCTCCTGGGCTCAAGTGATCCACCTGCCCTGGCCTACCAAAGTGCTGGGACTACAGGTGTGAGCCACCACACCTGGCTCATTTTTTTAAAAATTCAGGATTAAGTATCTGCCACAGATAACCCAGAACTGAAGGTTCAATAAGTCTCAGCATGGCTGGGCGCAGTGGCTCACACCTGTAATCCCAGCACTTTGGGAGGCTGAGGAGGACGAATCACCTGAGGTCAAGAGTTTGAGAGCAGCCTGGCCAACATGGTGAAACCCTGTCTCTACCAAAATTACAAAAATTAGCCAGGCGTAGTGGTCAGCACCTATAATTCCAGCTACTCAGGAGCCCGAGACAGGAGAATTGCTTGAACCTGGGAGGTGGAGGTTGCGGGAGCCGACACTGCGCCATTGCACTCTAGTGTAGGCAACAAGAGTGAAACTCTCTCTTAAAAAAAAAAAAAATAAATAAATAAAAATAAAAGTCTCAGCGTGTGTTTCAAAATGTTTTGTGTTGTCTTCCTTCTAACTGCCTGGTACCTATTTCTCCTGGCTCCAGTCCTTAATTACTAACACAAGAAACTACAACCAGAGAGGTTCTACACATGAATATAAATGAAATTTAACGTGCTGCCTGAATACTTACATTTTGCGAATGGGCATTTGGCTGAAGAGCTGTGGGACTGACCCATGTGAAACCAGGGTTTGGCGGTTGGGCTTGTTTAGTCCACAGGCTAGTTTTGCCAGGACCTGGAAGCATGCAAAGTGTAAAAACCTCATTACTGTCAACCCACCAAAGTTGGTGAATATAAACATACACATAACATACACACACACACACAGAGCTTAATGGCTGTAACCAATGGTTTCTACATTAAAAACAAAAATAAAACCAGAAACTCAAGACATCTCTAAAACTTGATATCCCACAACATCATTATCCTCACTCTTCTTCCCACGTCTCTCCCATTCTCAGTTTTCCTCTAGTCATTTTTTCCTTCCCGTCTATTCCTACTTCAAGAGGTTTGAAAAGTAGAGAGACTACAGGAGAAACTCAAGCAAGATGCATTTCTCAGTGTGTCTATATAAAAATGCTGAAACATACTTGCTTTACCCTATCCCATTTACATTTCTTAATAGTTGGTCCATTTTGAGTCCCCAATTTAACACAAATTATCATAATTTAGTATCTGTTATAGAGATTGGGCTCAAAACCATTCTCCAATAACAAACACCTTCTTATAAATAACATTTAAAAATGAAAAAGCTTAAATCCTTGAGAATCCTTTTTTTTTCTTTTTTTGAGACAGAGTCTTGCTCTGTCACCAGGCTGGAAGGTAGTGGCACGATCTCAGCTCACTGCAATCTCCCCCTCACTGGGTTCACGCGATTCTCCTGCCTCAGCCTCCCGAGCTGGAACTACAGGTGTATGCCACCATGCTCAGCTAATTTTTGTATTTTTGGTAGAGACGGGGTTTCACCATGTTGGCCAGGATGGCCTCGAGATCTCTTGAACTCGTGATTGGCCCACCTCAGTCTCCAAAGAGAACTTTTTTTTTTTTAAAACAGAGTTTCACTCTTGTTGCCCAGGCTGGAGTGCAATGGCACGATCTCAGCTCACTGCAACCTCCACCTCCTGGGTTCAAGCGATTCTCCTGCCTCAGAATCCTGAGTAGCTGGGATTACAGGCATGAGCCACCATGCCCAGCTAATTTTGTATTTTTAGTAGAGATGGAGTTTTTCCATGTTGGTCAGGCTGGTCTCGAACTCCCAACCTCAGGTGATCCACCAGCCTCAGGCTCTCAAAGTTGTGGGATTACAGGCGTGAGCCACTGAGCCACTGTGCTCGGCCAAGATAAATCTTTTCTAAGAGTAAAGCACTTCAATGGTATTTTGCAAATTATAAAAATATAATTTTTAAAATATTTTTATATAATTTAAAAATTATATTTTTATAATTATGTTTTAAAATATAAAATCATTAAACTCACTAGAGAGATTGGTTAAGAACTTCTACCAGGCAACATTTAGTCTGGTTTAAATTACACCAAAGCCATTGTTTCCTTTCCCTTCATCCAACCAGGAAAAAAAAAAAAAAAATTTCAGATGGGTAGTTTGACAACTTTCCTTGGAGAAGGAGAAGGTATCAACCAAGGATAATCAGCCACTGCCCAATTACTGAGCTTTGGTCAGAAAGGGATGGAAGTCCTGGGCTCTTGCTACACTTTATTCATAATTAATCAGAAAACCAGTTATTCTGCTCCTGAATTTTTGGGAACTGTCTGTGTACCCTAAATTAAAATAGTGGTCTAAATTAATAAAATTTTATTATTCCTTTTATTGCTCTCATAAGAAAACAGGGAATAGGCAAAAGCATAAAATACCTAGGCAACTCCACATAACAAGATAATACAAAAAAATTCAGCAAGTGGCTAGGCACGGTGGCTCATGCCTGTAATCCCAGCACTTTGGGAGGCCGAGGTGGGTGGATCACTTGAGGTCAGGAGTTCCAGACCAGCCTGGCCAATATGGTGAAACCCTGTCTCCAGTAAAAATAGAAAAATTAGCCGGTCATGGTGGTGTGCACCTGTAATCCCAGCTACTCGGGACGCTGAGGCAGGAGAAACACCTGAACCCGGGAGGCAGAGGCTGCAGTGAGCTGAGATCAGGCCACCGTACTCCAGCCTGGGCAACAGGGCGAGACTCCATCTCAAAAAAATAAATAAATAAAAATAATAAAAATAATAAAAATTTAGCAAGTGAAAATGAAAGAAATAGATTAACGTATATAAGTTCAAAGACTAGCTTCCTTTTTTCTACAGACAGTTCAGTCATTAAGGAAATACTGTCATCTCTCAGTATCTGCAGGAGATTGGTCCTAAGACCCCCAGTGAATGCCAAAATCCCAAGTCCCATATATAAAATGCACAACTCCCATAATATAAAATGGTGTAGTATTTGCATATAACCTTTGTATGTCCTTCTGCATACTTTAAATCATCTCTAATTACTTATAACACCTATAACGTACAATGTAAATGCTATATAAACTGCTCTTATAGTGTATTGGTTTTTCTTTTCTTTTTTTTTGAGACGGAGTCTTGCTCTTGTTACCCAAGAGTGCAATGGCTGGAGTGCAATGGCATGATCGCGGTTTACTGCAACCCATGCCTCCCGGGTTCAAACAATTCTTTTGCCTCAGCCTCCCGAGTAGCTGGGATTTTTTACAGGTGACTACTACCACACCCAGCTAATTTTTGTATTTTTAGTAGAGACAGGGTTTCACCATGTTGGCCAGGCTGGTCTCGAACTCCTGACCCCGTGATCCACCTGCCTCGGCATCCCAAAGTGCTGGGATTAAAGGCAAAAGCCACCGCACTGGGCTTTTCTTTTTTTTCTTTTTTTCTTTTTTTTTAAGACAGAGTCTCACTCTGTTGCCCAGGCTAGAGTGCAATGGTGCGATCTCAGCTCACGGCAACCTCCACCTCCCAGGTTCAACCAATTATCGTGCCTCAGTCCCCAAAGCATCTGAGACTACAGGTGTGTGCCACCACATCCAGCTAATTTTTTTGTATTTTTGGGAGAGATGGGTTTTGCCATGTTGCCCAGGCTGGTCTCCAACTCCTCGGTTCAGGTGATCTGCCTGCCTTGGCCTCCCAAAGTGCTGGGATTACAGGTGTGAGCCATTGTGCCTGGACTTGTTTTTTCATTTGTATAATTTTGAATTGTTGTATTGGGCCTTTTAATTTAAAAAAATATATATATTTTTGATCCATGGGTGGTTGAATCCCCAGATATGAAACTTGCACATACAGAGGGCCAACTGTCATTTAGATGTCACTGCATAAATAAGCATTAGCTGTAATTTTTCTTTTTTCTTTTTTTTTTTTTTGAGATGGAGTCTTTGCTTTGTCGCCCAGGCTGGAGTGCAGTGGCACAATCTTGGCTCACCGGAACCTCCGCCTCCCAGGTTCAAGCAATTCTCCTGCCTCAGCCTCCCGAGTAGCTGGGACTACAGGTGCACGCCACCACGTCTGGTTAATTATTTTTTTATTTTTAGTAGAGATGGTGCTTTACCATATTGGTCAGGCTGCTCTCGAACTCCTGACCTCAGGTGATCCACCTGCCTCAGCCTCCCAAAGTGCTGGGACGACAGGCGTGAGCCCCCACGCCAGGCCTTCAGCTTGCTTCTTAGGAAAGTACATATTTAATGTCCATTTCCATGGTAAAGAATTATTTATGCTTTGATTTGGGCCTCAACATGAATTTTAAACAGAAATCCATTCAAAGTATATGTGTAATAAACTTTTTTTTTTTTGGAGACAGTCTCACTGTCACCCAAGCTGAAGTGCAGTGGTATGATTTCGGCTCACTGCAGCTTCAACCTCCTGGACTCAGCTGATCTTCCCACCTCAGCCTCCTGTAGGTGCACATGACCACACCTGGCTAATTTTTTGTAGAGACTGGGTTTCAACATGCTCCCCAAGCTGCTCTTCAACTCCTGGGCTCACGCGATCCGCCCACATAGGCGTGCGCGACTACACCCGGCCTATGTGTAATAATTTAAATGTCCCACTGTCCCTGCTGTATTTGACTAAGGATATCAATGTTTCTCTTTGAAATCTACTATTAGCCTTCACCTTATTGTGTGAAATTCCAGCTGAACACTGAAAACCAGTCTCCCTCTCTATGGCTGCTCTCATTTCCTCCACAATCACTGCTCCCACGGTGAGCTGCAGGTCTGGAGAGGTGAGGTTATCAAGCTGAAGAGAATCGAGCCATTGAAATAAGCCTTGTTTTCGCATCCCCTCTGAAATGAATTAAGAAGTCACATTTAGACATTTAAAAAAATGATTTAATTGTGCTATCTAATGTAGAAATACTTAGATTACAGGTATTTAGACATATAAGTTTTCACAAAAAAATGGCATCCATTTTAGAAGACTAACTATGAGAGAGATCAATTTCTCCTTCAGAGTGATTCCCGCAGCTTAGCTTCAGCATAGGCTGAATTTTTTGTACAACAAATATTTTGTATTAATATCATCTTTCACGAGCAATGATTTTAAAACACATTTTCAGCCAGGCACGGTGGCTCACGCCTGTATTGCCAGCACTTTGGGAAACCAAGGTGGGTGGATCAACTGAGGTCAGGAGTTTAAGACCAGCCTGGCCAACATGGCAAAACCCCATCTCTACTAAAAATACAAAATTAGCTTGGCGTGGTGGTGCAGGCCTGTAATCACAGCTACTCAAGAGGCTGAGGCAGGAGATTCGCTTGAAACCAGGAGGCGGAGGTTGCAGTGAGCCGAGATTGTGCCGCTGCACTCCAGCCTGGGCAACAGAGCAAGACTACATCTCAAAACAAACAAACAAATAAATAAATAAATAAATAAATAAAAATAATGAAAACACATTTATCTCCCCAGTTGTCTTGAATTTTCTTTCTCCTACCATATTTAACTACTTGAACATCTCCAAGAAATTTTTTTTCAATTAGAAAATATTCACAATTAACTCAAGCTTCAATACAAGCTTTTTAACATTTACATGTTTTTAGAGGTGGATTCCAGCTGAGTAACTTAAAATCCACTCCGAGGCACTAGATTTATTTCCCTGACAAGCTGTTTTAAGTTAGATGTTGCTTGGGACTTAGGACCTTGAAAATATCTTATGCTGAGTACATACAAATCTTTATCCCCAAACTTACACTCTAATCCCTCAGCTCTACCTCCCTACAGACGAACTTTTCCTGACTGCCTACAGAAGAACTTTTCTTGAATTTTTGTTTTGTTTGGTTTTTTTGAGACGGAGTCTCGCTGTCACCCAGGCTGGAGTGCCGTGGCCGGATCTCGGCTCACTGCAAGCTCCGCCTCCCGGGTTCCCACCATTCTCCTGCCTCAGCCTCCCAAGTAGCTGGGACTACAGGCGCCCGCCACCCCGCCCGGCTAGTTTTTTGTATTTTTTAGTAGAGACGGGGTTTCACCGTGTTAGCCAGGATGGTCTCAATCTCCTGACCTCGTGATCCGCCCATCTCGGCCTCCCAAAGTGCTGGGATTACAGGCTTGAGCCACTGCGCCCAGCCCCATGAATTTTTAATTATAGTTTCCAACTAAACATAACTAAAATCAAACTTTGTCTTCCTTCTCAAATGTTCTTTCCCAACTAACTCCCTATTTCTATTAAGGGCTTAAAACCCACAATAATATTGGCTTATTTTCTTTCTTTCATTCTTCATTATGCAGGCATTTTAGTCAACAAAGGCTACTTTAAAATATTTCACATATCCATTGCAACCCACCCCACCACCCTATTTTATTCAGGTTTTCTTTATTCTTTTTTTTTTTTTTTGAGACCAAGTCTCGCTCTGCTGCCCAGGCTGGAGTGCAGTGGCACGATCTCAGCTCACTGCAAGCTCTGCCTGCCAGGTACACGCCATTCTCCCGCCTCAGCCTCCCGAGTAGCTGGGACTACAGGCGCCCACCACCACGCCCGGCTAATTTTTTGTATTTTTAGTAGAGATGGGGTTTCACCATGTTAGCCAGAATGGTCTCAATCTCCTGACCTCATGATCTGCCCACCTCGGACTCCCAAAGTGCCAGGATTACAGGCCTGAGCCACCGTACCCGGCAAGCTCTTACTACTCAACTCTGTTCTTCTTTCCTTTGCTTAAACACATCTATATTTTAGGGTTTATTGCAAGTTTATCTATCACGAAGTCCTCTCCTTCAACTATTCTAGCTAGCTTCCAAGTACCACATTAAAATCCTTAACCTTTTATCTGTAAAAGGAAGTAGACATAATTGTTATATTTTTTAAGACAGAGTGACACTCTGTCATCCAGGTTGGAGTGTAGTGGCATGATCTTGGCTCACTAATATATACTAGTATACACTATTTTAAATGATGGATGTTTTAATAGTATTTATTGTTCTTAATATGTGCAAGCCTTGGTGTTTCAGGAAAATAGATAATAAAAAAAAAAGAAAAGAAAAATACACGCAAGCCATTGTGCTGAGGAACTTTATTTTATTTTTTGAGAGAGTCTCGCTCTGTTGCCCAGGCTGGAGTGCAGTGGTGTGATCTTGGCTCACTGCAAGCTTTGCCTCCCGGGTCCACGCCATTCTCCTGCCTCAGCCTCCCAAGTAGCTGGGACTACAGGTGCCTGCCACCATTCCCAGCTAATTTTTTTGTATTTTTTTTTAGTAGAGACAGGGTTTCACCATGTTAGCCAGGATGGTCTCGATCTCCTGACCTTGTGATCCACCCTCCTCGGCCTCCCAAAGTGCTGGGATTACAGGCGTGAGCCACCATGCCAGGCCAAGGAACTTTATTTTTAAAAACTATCTTTTGGGCCGTGCGTGGTGGTTCACGTCTGTAATTCCAGCACTTTGGGAGGCTAACGCGGGCAGATCACGAGGTCAGGAGTTTGAGACCAGTCCGACCACCATGGTAAAACCCCATCTCTACTAAAAATACAAATACAAAAATTAGCCAGGCGTGGTGGTGCACACCTGTAATCCCAGCTACTCAGGAGGTTGAGACAGGAGAATTGCTTGAACCTGGGAGGCGGAGGTTGGGTGAGCTGAGCGAACTCCCCCTCAAAAAAGAAAAAAAACTTTAAAAAAACCCTGTCTTTTGGCGGGGCAATCTCTGCCTCCTGAGCTCAAGCGATCCTCCTACCTCAGCCTCCCAAGTAGCTAGGACTACAGGCAGATGCCACCACGTCCAGCTAATTTGTATTTTTTGTAGAGACGGGGTTTCACCATGTCACCAAGGATGGTCTCAAACTCCTAGACTCAAGCAACCCCCCGATGTGCCCCCCATCTCCCCAGCCCCCAGCCTTGGCCTTACAAAGTGATGGGGATTACAGGCATGAGCCACCATGTATGATCATAAGAAGTAGAGCATAATTGTTAAAAGAACATTCTGCAGTCAAGCAAGGATCACCATGTATGATCATAAGAAGTAGAGCATAATTGTTAAAAGAACATTCTGCAGTCAAGCAAGGTTCAAATATTGGCTTCATAACCTACTGACCATATGACTTCGGACAAGTTACATAATTCTCTAAGCTTCAGTTTCCTTGTCTACAAACTGCACTTCATATAGCTGTTATGAGGATTAAAAGACAGTTTATTAATTTTTATTTTTTTTTGAGACAGAGTTGCTCTGCTGCCCAGGCTAGACTGCAGTGGAACGATCTCAGCTCACTGCAACCTCCACTTCCCAGGTTCAAGCAATTATCCTGCCTCAGTCTCCTGAGTAGCTGGGACTATTGCTGTGCACCTCCAGGCCCAGCTAATTTTCGTATTTTTAGTAGAGATGGGGTTTCACCATGATGGCCAGGCTGGTCTTAAACTCCTGATCTCAAGGGCTCCCAAAGTGCTGGGATTATAGGCGTGAGCCACCGTGCAAGGTTAGTTTTTTAAAATAAAGTTCCTCAGCACAGTGGCTTCTACATTTTTTTTTTAATTATCTATTTTCCTGAAACACCAAGGCTTGCATATATTAAGAACAATAAATACTATTAAAACACCCATCATTTAAAACAACTTATACTAGTATATATTAGCTTTGGGAAATAAAAATATGAATAATTTATTGTAATTGTGTGACTTTCTGGACCATTTTAACTTAGCCAGCATGGTGGCAAATGCCTACAACCCCAGCTACTCAGGAGGTTGAGGCATGAGCATCACTTGAACCCCGGAGGTGGAGGCTGCAGTGTGCCAAGATCTCACAACTGCATTCCAGCCTGGGTGATACCAAAAAATCAGTGTTGCATATGGAAATTTAAAAAAAGAAAGTTATATAATAAGATGTGGTACAGAAAGGTAAGACCAAAGAACACCTTTCTTACGATAATTAAACTTCTGACTCTGGTCCCAGAATAATAAAATATCAAATATCAAAAGCTTATATGCCATGATTTTGCTTCCTTTATAAGCGGCACATCTTTATTGTCCATTATATTTTGTCCAAAGAACTAAAGGATCTGCAGCCTCTAGCTTGACATAGTTTGCATTATCAGGATCAGAAAATAAAATAATTCCTTAAGTCACAAGCTTCCCTGGGCAGTTTTACCACCACCCTTCTGCAAAACAATTAAAGGCGTATCATACAATTGTTCAGCAGCAAAAGCAAAGTTTACATCTCACATCTTTTTTTTTTTTCTTTTTTTTTTGAGACAGAGTCTTGCTCTGTCGCCACCCAGGCTGGAGTGCAGTGGCGTGACCTCGGCTCACTGCACCCTCCGCCTCCTGGACTCAAGCAATTCTCCTGCCTCAGCCTCCTAAGTAGCTGGGATTACAGGCACCTGCCACCGTGCCTGACTAATTTTTGTATTTTTAGTAGAGATAGGGTTTCACCATGTTGGCCAGGCTGGTCTCGAACTCCTGACCACAGGTGATCCACCAGCCTCGGCCTCCCAAAGTGCTGGGATTACAGGTGTGAGCCACCACGCCCAGCCAAAACATGAAACTTATGCAGAATTATTTGCTCTGGGGGCATACAACTGAATTTCATAATATTCAATTAAAAAAAAGACCTCATTCTGGCGGAGGTTGCAGTGAGCCGACATTGTGCCACTGCACTCCAGCCTGGGTGATAGAGTGGCTCCGTCTCAAAGAAAAACAAAACAAAACAAAAAACCCTCATTCTTATGCAAATTCTTAGACCTGGAATCTAGGACTATCATAATCTAACATTATCACAAAAGCAGTTTTTTTTTTTTTTTTAGATGGAGTCTTGCTCTGTCGCCCAGGTTGGAGTCCAGTGGTGCGATCTCGGCTCACTGCAACCTCTGCCTCCTGGGTTTAAGGAATTCTCTGCTTCAGCCATCCAAATAGCTGGGATTACAGGCGTGTGCCACCACACCCAGCTAATTTTTTTGTATTTTTAGTAAAGACGAAGTTTCACCATCTTGGCCAGGCTGGTCTTGAACTCCTGACCTCGTGATCCACCCACCTCAGCCTCCCAAAGTGCTTGGATTACAGGCGTGAGCCACTGTGCCCGGCCACAAAAGCAAGTTTTTATTGTTCTAATTCTATTCAAATATAAGAAAAAAAAAATTAACCTTCAAGTACATGTTATTAAAACACTTCATACAGATTGTATCACAAGTTTTTTTCAGACAGATAAAGTAAAAAATGAATTTATTTTAAAAAACCCATTTATCATTTCCTAACACATCAATATCCAAGTAGAAAATAAAAGCCTGGGCAACATAGTAAGACCCTGTCTCTACAAAAAATTTTAAAATTAGCCAGGCATGATGGCGCATACTTGTAGTTCCAGCTACTCTGCAGGCTGAGGTGGGAGGACTGTTTGAGCCCAGGAGTTCAAGGCTGCAGTGGAGCCATAATTACACACCTGTGAATAGCCACTGATAGCCACTGCACTCTAGCCTGGGCAACATAGTGAGACTTCCATCTCCAAAAAAAAAAAGACAAGGAACTAATAATTAGGATAGGATATACAAGGAACTCTTGCAAATCAAAAAATAAATAATTTTACCATTTGTCATGGAAACACCTTGTAATAAGCCACTGATAGCCACTGCACTCTAGCCTGGGCACATAGTGAGACTTCCATCTCCAAAAAAAAAAAAAGACAAGGAACTAATAATTAGGATAGGATATACAAGGAACTCTTGCAAATCAAAAAATAAATAATTTTACCATTTGTCATGGAAAAATGGCAAAGATTATAAAAACGTAAATCACAGAAGCAGAAACCCCAGCTGGCTTACAAGTGTATGAAAAGATCTTCAATCTCAATTAGTAATCACAGAAATGTAAATTAGGGGCCGGCCGGTGGCTCAAGCCTGTAATCCCACACTTTGGGAGGCTGAGACGGGCGGATCACGAGGTCAGGAGATCGAGACCATCCTGGCTAACAACGGTGAAACCCGTCTCTACTAAAAAATACAAAAAACTAGCCGGCGAGGTGGCGGGCGCCTGTAGTCCAGCCTCCGGAGGCTGAGGCCGGGAGAATGGCGTGAACCCAGGAGGGCGGAGCTTGCAGTGAGCTGAGATCCGGCCACGGCACTCAACCTGGGCGGCAGAGCGAGACTCCCGCGCTCAAAAAAAAAAAAAAAAGAAATGTAAATTAAAGCAAAACAAACAAACATTATATTGGCAATTATATTTATTTATTTATTTATCTTTTGAGACAGAGTCCTCGCTCATCGTGCCAGGCTGGATGCAGTGGCCGCGATCTCAGCTCACTGCAAGCTCCGCCTCCTGGTTCATGCCACTCTTCCTGCCTCAGCCTCCCAAGTAGCTGGGACTACGGGGCCGCCACCACCACACCAGGCTAATTTTTTTGTATTTTTAGTAGAGGACGGGGTTTCCACATGTTAGCCAGGATGGTCTCAATCTCCTGACCTCGTGATTCACCCTGCCTCAGCCTCCCAAAGTGCTGGGATTACAGGCATGAGCCACTGCGCCTGCGCCAGCAAATTTTTTTTTTTTTTTTTACAACACAAGGAGTCTCCTCTGTCGCCGCCAGGCTGGAGTTAGTGCACGATCATCGGCTCACTGCAAGCTCCACTCGCCCAGGTTCAAGCATTCTCCCTGCCTCAGACCTCCCCGAGTAGCTGGATACAGGCGCCACCCTCGACTAGCCGCTAGTTTTTGTTATTTTTTTTAAGTAGAGACGGGGGGTTTTCAAGCCGCTGTTACGCAGGATGTCTCCGATCT